GACAAGGCGAGAAACTTCTCAGGAAAGCTGTGGCTTGAAGTGGCTCAAGACGCCCTGCAGGACAGGTGCCATCAACTGACATCCCTTCCAAACCAAGTTGCTTCGTCGTCGTGGTGAGAAGCTGGTGCTTGGTGATGCTGGGTCCGGTGCTACAGGCTCAGTCCATCACTTTTCGTAAGAACGTGGGCTTTGGCAAAGGCAAGTGGTGATAGTGGTTAGTGTGGAGTGAGCTCGCAAGCAGGCATGTGCATCTTGCGGCATGTGCATCTTGGTTCTTGGACATGCTGTGGCATATGTGCTGGGTGCTCTGATTGTAGGATGGTCTGGCAGCCACGACACTAGATAACACCGTTGAGGGCAGGGATCGTGGCAGCAATACAGCTTCCGAGGTTTGGAGCGATTGCTCAATCATGTCCTACATGTAGCCAAGCATCAGCATCTGCGCATGTACAAATACAAGATATGCTTTAATTTTTTTGCATTCGGTGAACAAATCACAAAGACTACCGGTTGGCTTCATTCAATTACAAAGCGGCAAAAGAGCCAGTTCTGATGCAATCATGTTTGCGCCCACGTGCCACAACAGTGCCCTTTCCACACGAGTCACAACTTCATTCATGTGTCTGCGACATGGGTTCTCAGAATATTGCTTGCATCCATTTTGTTGAAGAGAAACGTAATCAACCGTCATTGCCATTAGCATTCCCACATCTCGAATGAGGTGCTCTCATGTTGCAACTCAAGCACAAAGACAACAAGGCCACAGATTCGCTAGCAAGGGCACTGATGGGTATTGAAGCAAATTTCGGGTTCGGTGGATAACTCTACACTAATGTCGAGCGGATGTTTGTTTGCCCCTATTCACAGACCATCGGGATCACAGGTTACTAGTTGCCTAATTTTTGTCGAAACCTGCGTTGGATGCCCAGTTTGTGTTCAATGACAAATAATCTAATACTTTGGTTTCAGCTTGTCATCAACATTGACATATCAGTTACATGCTACGCTGCCTGATTATTAACTGGCTAATGCTGGAGGTTCAATGACGGGTTATGGCACTATGTCAAATACCAAGAACATGAGACACATGTGACCGAGATATTTTGCGGGTAGCGCTTGTTTATTGCTTCATCTTCACACAGTACCTGACTAGTATGTCACTCGTATACGCTTAAGACCTTGACTGCTAGTCACATGTAACTCGATACTTGAAAGCCGGAATGAAATTGCACGGCAATCTTTCTGTAGTGCATGTCTTGTTCGGCTCCAGTCATGTGTACAGCTCCCACTTAACCTGTGCTTAATCTTTTTTTGGGCTTAGTTTAGCGGCTTTCCGTCTGCATAGCACATTAATCGTGGAGCAATTCATACACTTGCTGTTGACGATATGTGCAGTATGTGCCATGAGATAAATGAGTTCGGCGTATTTTCGCTGTTGTTACTCGGTTACTCTCTCCCTCTCAACGTAACATGCTTTTCGAAATCTGCTTGGCAAGCTTCTGCATACAGACACGGATGAACACATGAATAACTACAAAATAAGTTGATGATGAAATGCGGAAATGCGCTGCGTTAACAAACAGACTGAACACATAGATGAACGCAAAATCGTGAGTACATCACTGATGGAACCATACATGAATAGACGAATAAACGACCAAACCAAATAATGAGTAAGTAAATAAATTACTAGCTAAATAGACAATGACATGCACACAAATGTGGCTTTGCATACGCGTGTTTACATATGTGGAGAGAGATAGTACACATTCATGCATCTGTAGATACATCACTATCTACATGCCTATGCAGGCGCTGGCAAATTGTGAAGCTGTGAACTGTTCGGCGATGAGTAGGCTAAACACCTTGAGCACAGCGACACAACAACAAAATGCAGACTGTTTTCGGCAGGTAGTTTACCAGAGTTGAATTGTGTCTCCTTTCTTTGACTTGGCTTGCCATCTCGGCGGGGTTGGTTTGACGTACCGGTTTGATTCTGCCCCCCTTCGTGGTTGTGCTCCGGTTTCCGGCGCACTCGGCTATGACTGCGGATATGGTGTCGCAGGGGTTATGTCATGTTGCGGTGAAACCCAACCAAAACAAAAAACACACTAAAAAAACACACACACACACAACAAATTACAAAAAATGAGGTACCCGGTCTTCGGCGGGGCGGGGCTCAAATTTGCCTGAAGCAATGCGTGCAGTGGTGTTGCAATGGCCAGAGAGAAGGTTGTGCCTGCAAAGCCTTCCAGACTTCATCGGGCGCTCCATTTGCCAATACCCGGCGTGCGCGGTCGCCGTAATGCATTGATATTTCTGCCACCTCCTGCATCGTGAACATCTGGTGTGCACTGCAAGATGCAAGTGGTATCGTGTGCTTCCTGCCCACGTCGTGCCAGCTCTTGCTGGTGTTCGTCAAGGCTCAATCCTTTAGCTGTCAGCGGCTCTCCTGAGGCCAGAAAGTTTTTGCACTGCAATGCGGCCGGCCCTACCAGTATGCAGCAGCCATCTTAGACTATTCCCGCTGCAACCGAAACTGTCGAAAGATCAGGCACCACATGCAACACACCCCGAAGGTGCAGCTTCCTGTAACGTCATCCAGCATGTTAGCTTCACATGGATCTTCGCCTGTCAGAATTCTACAGTCACTAAAGCACCGCTGCTCCTCCCTAGCCAGTGGCCAGAAGAGACTTCAGGCATCGCCAGGGTGCCTGACGCTAAACTTCGAGGTGGCATCCAAACGGTGTGGTAGGAACGTCCGGATGCCCTGTGATGCCAGCACCTCACAGCTGGCACCTCTCACTCACTTCATCGATCTGCTATCGGCAGCGACTTCTCGGAGAGTGAGTTTCCGACCCCGCTCTTCGGGCATGCAGCTTGTCCGCATCAACATCCAAGATGATTGCAGCCTCAACTCTGCAACTCGGCTGAGCTGCACAAGCGAATGCATGGGTCTAAGAGTCTGATCTGAGCCGCCCAGGGGCCGTCACTGCATCCCCAGAGTCTGCCAATGAAGTATCCAGAAGCTTGATTTGGCTATAAGTCGCAGGGAAACCGTCGAGAACAAAGCCCGAATTGCCTAAGTTGCACAGCTGCAGAGTCACGGAAGCCGCTGGCACTTTCGCAAGTCTCTTGCCAGATCCTGCTGAGCTACAGTCTCGGCAACGGACGCGTGCCTGGACCAATTGCATTAGCAATGGATCTGGCACCACCCCGCCTCTTTTCATGATGCCTGCCGGCTCGACAGTTAAACATCACTGGTACCGCCTAAGAACATTTCTCGAACACGGCATAACTGCAGATTGTGGCGACAACGCATCCTGCTTGCCTTCCACTTGCCGTCCTGAGGCCGAACCCAACGCTATTGCTGCTCGCCTGCAGACCAGTTTCGCCATGTGTCAGTGCAAACAACTCTAAAACAAGCACCATGGTATGCTGGCATCCACATAGCAGTTCTGAACACGACATGTGCCAAGCCGCAGTAAATCATGTATTGTGAGCTTGGGGATGCCGAGGTGTTCTGCCTGAGATGCATGCCAAGCCCAAGTCTAATTAAACCCGATCGGAATTGCCCTCAAAGCACAACCTGAGCACCTTGAAGCTTGGGTGTGCCGATGACTCTCTTCCAAGGAACAGCTAGTTACCCTTGGCTCGCTGCAGGCGAAGAAGCAAGCTTTGCCGACACCGTAGTCTTCCCGCTTGCAGGAGGCCCCGAAAGCACGACGACCTGAGAAAGATACCAGCACAAGGAACATGGCGAATGCGCGGAGTCAACTGGTACATGCCCTGATTTCGACCACGCAGCTGTGCGCCCTGAGGCTGGTGGGGCGGCTGGGTGCATTACCCAGTCGAAGAAGTCCTGATAGCACACCTTAAGTGCTGCAGCTGTACTGCGCAGATCGCACAACTTGCAGGGCCAAATTCAACTTGCGACAACCCCTTCTCCCTGCGGCAAAGATGCCTTGCCAGCTGCCTTTTCACTGGAGTCTACGGCCTTCTGCGCAATCGCTGCAGGAACGTCCACCAGTTCGAGGACCTTGACCAAAGAAGAGCATCGGCCTGGTGTTCCGCCTGAAGCCTGCAAGAATACTCACCCAGCCTTTACGAGCTTGTCTTTGTCAACTTCTCCAGTCCCACCAGCGTCGTACTGCCGGAACAGCCTGACCAAAAACTGCACAGTACTTGGACTTAGTGAACCTGTCAGCTTCATCATCATCCATTCAAGACCTGTTGTGTGCCCCAACCATTTTTCACAATGCAAATGACAATGGACATGACGTTTATCAACAGCGACAGATGAAACACTACAACTACCGACAACCCCCTAATTTACTCGTCTGTCAGCGTTCATTATTGCGCTGCAGGAACGAGATTGGGGGATATTGGGGGGCCATTGCACGCCCTAGAAGTTTGCACCCGCCGGTCACCGAAACTACACGGCAGGGACTAGATTGAACGGTAAACAACCCAATGCAGAAGGCTCGTCGTGGTGACGACTACGATGGACTACGTCTCACGTTGTCAAACTACTATCGGGACGTTGAACATGATTGAACATGCAACCAGGTAGCTCGATGATGCCGTTTGTGAGAGGCAGCGATGCCATCAGACTTCATCCAACACTGTGTCTGCATGCGCTATGCTTGCACCGACAAAGGCTGCGGAAACGGCTGACACTACAGTTCAAACAGGAGCTTCGGTAAACCTCGGATCAGTCTGTCTGCACATCGCAAGCCTGGCGACCTCGAATGAAACTACAAGGTGCAAGGGGCGTTGCATGTCGAGAATTCAAGACAAGTCGACAACATCGGCCAGCCAAGGGTTTTCGGTACATGCCATGACTGCATTGACTTTTTATGTAGAGAGGTGAGGTCTGTGGCTGTGTTGTTGAGTCTGGATCATCGTCATCATGATCTTTGTGGTTGAAAGTGCACAAAGAGCAGGAAACGTCCCCGCGAAAGTGGTCACCCGGTCCGCCAATCAACCGGAGCTTCGGCCTGCGATGCCAAGGAGCTTCAGCCCATTTCGCCAAGCCTCGCGGCTTTCCCCTCTTCCCACAGCAAGCTAAAACACGTCAAGGGCTGTAGTTCAGAAATTCTGGGCGGCACTCAGTCGGAGACCCCTCGAGAACAGGCACGAATAGAATGATAAAGCGCCTCGCGACCACGTTCCGCCGAGTTTCGGCCAGTTTTGGGTCAATTCAACGCACAGATCTTGCAAGCGCGTAATTTAGGAGCCGTCGACAATGCTGCGCAACCCGTTTTGCCTTGCGCCAGCCACTCACCCAACAGGGGAAGACTCTCCGACTCTGCAAGCGCTGACAGAGGATCACAAGTGTTCCAGGCCACGGGGCACCAAGGGTAAGCAGCAATTTATGAAGCTTCCCTCAGTGCTTTTGTCGAAGAAATCCAGGTTCTTCCAGCCAACCCAGCCCTTCTGGAGGATAGGTTTGATGTCGTCCTGCCCTGGGTAGTGAGGATCGACAATCAGATATGCTACATCCCCTGTGACAGAATCAAAGCAGAGCCCAACAAGAGTGTAGGCATACATACCAGCACCCATCATGATTGGCGTGCCCTCCGTTTCCAGATGCTGAAGCATTTGTTGTGCCTGGCTCGCCATGTCCGTGGCATCTTGGCAATACATCATCTTGCAATCAACCTGCAGGTACTCCTGCAAGAGGTACATGCCCTCCACAGTGCCTATCCATTTCTTGCTGCCCACTTCCAGCTCCCGATGTGCCTCATCTATTTGTTTCAACAGGTTTTGGATGTCAGGGATGCTCGGAACTGAAGCACGGCTGTAGTGCTGCATCCGGTACCAGCTGACACAAGTCTGTAAAGAACGATATGCACAGCCCCAGCCACTGTCATCAAAGTTGTCCTTCAAGCGCCGGAGGCCGACGACAACACAAGCAGTTGCCCGACAACCATTGGTTGATCTGTATCTATAACTATAACCAATACATAAAGCGTAAAACAAAAACAAATAAATCCTGCATGTAGTGGTGGTACTCATATATGCCTTTGACGAAAGCCACCCGGGTAGAGGCTGAGCCTCTCCACCAGCTCGGCTTTGAACCGCAACTGCTGTGTGGATTCCTGGGCTTCCCAGTGGCCATCACCGGAGCCTGTTCAAGAGCACTGCGGGCACTCAAAGAAACAGTCGCAAACACTTCTTGACGATTTCGCCTGGCCGGCAAGCGGCAGCGCTGCGCTTGGCACAAGAAGTGGCGCTGCGGGAAGGCGTAGCAGCCGATGCAGTTCAAGCCGGGTGGTCTGAACTTCTGCGCCTCTTACACAGACAACATGTTGCTCGAGCTGGTAGCAGCGTACTGCGAAACTTGTGCCCTTCGCAAGGCGGTCTTGCGAGACCTCTCGGATCAACTGCCGCAACTGAAACTCGGCAGCTTGAACAAGGGACTGGGCAACAACTTGCAACATTGAATTCGGAGGAACATAGGCCGCAAAGTCTATGCGGTGCTCAGCTTGCGCCTGGCAGTGGAACTCTGCAAAGTTGGAGTGCCCTTCACTTCCCAAAGCCTCAGACAAGACTTCGACTGCCAGGAGCCCAGATTCAGGCACACTGCATGGAACATTCACTTCGTCGATGAAGTCGGCCAAAGCTGGCACCAGCTGCGTTCCCGGGAAGCGAAAGCGTATCGCTGAGAGGTCAGATGCCAGAGAGGATAGGAGCACCATGGCCTCAGCCTCAATCTTGGGTAGGACAATGCTGAGCGAAGAGTACGCACAGATCTCGGATGGCTCTGAAACTTTCCAATGGCTTCGTTCTAGGCCTCGCTGCATATCCCAAGCTTTCAACCGGCCATCCTCTGCTCGGGTTGCCAGCAGAAGCAATCCACGAGCGAGCTGCGAGCTGGCGCTGGCTATGCTGGCAATCTCGGGAGGCCACTCTGGCTTTGTCCAATCAGCGCAGAGCACTCCCAGAATTTCCAGGCCCTGTGGCAGTACCGAGGCCGCCTGCTGCAGGGATTCTCCGGGATCCTTCCTGGCTGCACGGCGACGCGAGAAAAAAGCGGCAACAACAATTACAGGGCATGCTCTTTTCGGCAGTATAAAGGACCTGGCAAGATTTTACTGGCACCAAGTCTCGAACAGTTCATCACACTCCAGACAAACACACCAGACGACGACACGCGGCCGACGAGCCAAAGCAGCTCTGTGGCCTCAGGCGCAACAACGGCATGTCCATCAGCTCCTGCGGGGCACTGTTGAGGTATACGAGGCGCGAAGATGAGACACACGTGCCCCCCAAGTACCGTTCCCAGGGACCGCATGCTTTATGCTCGCGTTGGTTATGCAACCTTTGGGATGTCGCCACAGATTTAACGAGTTGAGGAGCACATCAGCTAGAAAGCCCGTCATATATATATATAAGAGAGAGAGAG